AGATCGTTAGGGGTTGCGAGGAAAAGTGCGTGTGCGGTGAAAATGGCGTAGCCGTAGACTGCAAGCCGCTTTGCTCCTCGCCGTACGTTCGAGCGAACCGTGGAATCGAGGACCCGCTGTGTCAAGAGAAGATCGTCAACGAGGAAGCGTGCTGCGCCATTTTGGTCTGTGCCGCCGATTCAGGTGAGTTCGGTATGTTAAAATGTCAGGCATCATATTACTTTGTCGAATCTTACGTTCTTGTCGTGCAGCGCCCGAACCGGAAGAAACATGCATCTTTGGGAACAAAACGATAATGAGGGGTCAACGAGTGGAAGATGGCTGTTCCAGGGTCTGCATCTGCGAAGCGGGAGGCAATTTAAAGTGCCAGCAAAGATGTCCTCCGAACGACACGATTTCGGTGACGAATCAACACGATCGTTGCGTCGTGCTCACCGACCCAAGGTACGGGGAATCGTCGTTCCCGATTTCTCTACAATTTGCTTTGAAATTTCTGGTTCGAAGTTAAGACGCGTTCTCATCGAACCAACTTTCTTGAAACTTTTCGTCGCCTGTTGTCGCCCTATGTTTCCTCAGCCAACGCTCTGTCCTCGGTAAAGCGACAGTGTGTTTCGATTTCAATGCGATATTTGTTCCTGAAAACTAGCTGCGGAATAGTCAACAAATTGTACGAATTGGAACGTTTGCTTCTGTCGCGTGTTTCTTAATTTTCTTTAATCTTTACAAACGGCAAGAGGCAACAGGAACGAACCTTCGTTACTGATGGCAGGCGAAGAAGAAACACGGAGAAACGTTGGACAACAACCAGTCGATCTTTTCGAAGAACATGGAACATTAGCGAAAAGTTGCTCGTTGTTGCTTCGATGAAAACGTATTAAACAATAGTTTTACATGTTCGTTCGCTCTGTCAGCTTTCGTTGTCCTGTATTTTAGAGACGCGTGTTGCACGATCACTCTCTGCGACGTTACCTTGGGCGATCACGAGATCAAACCGGAAAGCTCGACCGACTTGGCCGTAAACCTTACGGACGTAAAGGTACTGAACTCGACGGCGATCAAGCTGAAGTTGTCGGCTAAGAATCCGCAGGATGTGACCGTGGAGATATCCGACAACAATCACGTGTGGAGGCAGCAGAAACCTGACAAAGGTGAGAATATACGGACTAGCCTTAAGAACGTAATTGTCGTAATACATGATACGGTATTGTAAAAATGAGAAAATACGTGAACGTAGAGGGTATCATATCGAATCTGGATCCTGCACACTCGTACTACGTGCGAGTAACGGATGGAACTCGAACTGGTCCAGCGCTGCAGGTTTTTCTTCCCGCGGAAGTGATCAAGACGAATATCTCGGACAAGATGGTAGACAAGAGTTCCTGTAGTCACATGGGGAAAACGTACAAGATGGGTGCAGAATGGTACGACGAATGTATCTCGTTCTGCACTTGCGCCGAAGGAGGTAAAACCGAGTGTTCGACGATCGAGTGTCCCACGGATTTTGGACTCGACGTTCTAGACCCTCACTGTTTGGACTGGGAAACGGTGCCGCCGAATTTCGTCCCGAAACCTCCTCACTGCTGTCCTCAGGTAAGTCTCGGATCGTCTGAAACTCGTTTAAGTTCGTTATATTTCGCTGAGAGCCCAGGAAATCCGAACGAAAAAGTTTCGTGATGCAACGTCAATGGATTTCTGAGGAATATCTGAGACAACGTCGATCTTTTCTAAGACGTCAACGTACGCAAACGCGAACGATACGCGTGTACATAATAACACGAAGGATCGCTGAATCGACGATGTTCATGATCGTAGGAAGTGCGATGCAGAAATAATGGTTCGTGCAATTACGAGGGCAACACGTACGACAATTGGAGCGAGCTGCCGGCAAACGTAACCGGATGCGAGAAGCGATGTTACTGCGAGATGGGAAACGTGTCCTGTCAGGCGGCTTGTCCACCGGTCCCGGCTCTACCACCTGCTACTTTACCTTGTCCGTCTTATCAGGCCGCGTTAATGCATCTACCCGGTGACGAATGTTGCTTGGAGTGGAGCTGCAGTCATCCATCCAACCAGTCGCCAGGTAAATCCGCGCTTGCGTGACGGAAAACATGAAAATAGTCAAAGAAACGAGCTGACAAAGCGACGGTTTCCGTGGGCCGCGTTAACGACCGGAAGATCGTTTAAGCAAACCTGTGCGTTGATCTTCCTCGTTAAATAGCAGATATACAGGATGTTCTAAATCGAAGAAATTATTGGATTAAATAAGGAGTTATTGGACTGCGGATTTTTATATCCTCTGGCTCGTGAAAGATTATGCGAAATTTACATACGCAAAAATTCGCAGAATGCTTACAATGTGCAGAAGAATATTCGATACAATTTTTAAGAAGTAAAACGGATCTGTATTTAAGCGCTATTTCTTGACTTAAAAATGTATCCATATTTGGGTAAAAATCCATTATTGTTTAATTAATGATCGAAGTTATCGAATAGAGTAATCGAAAATGGGTCAACCTGTATATCTGTCTGATGTAATTTTGCAAAGTAGAAATTTGTTTGATCGGTACTGTAAATCGTTGATGTTCGATTCCTTGGTGGCGGTGATATCAACGTACGCGTTAGTGGCATCGAGGAGATTGCTATCACGAAGAGGAGACGTTAGATTGGTTATGGGTAGAGGGTGAACGCTTATCCGCCATGCGGACCTGACTGGAACTCTCCAGTGCAAATGTGACGTGTATGTACATACACCCGAATATATCCTCACGTCTCACACTTTCCATCGTTCAACGACGAAGACCTTCAATTTAACGAAACACTGTACATTCTCCCTTTCATCTCATATGTTCTTTCGTATTCGTTACAGTTGCAATTCCATCTCAGTATACTTTAGCTTCGGTATGTATTGCCTTTCGTAGATCTCTCCTTTTACACTTAACATAAGAAAAATATCCCAAAACCCCGTAAAAGATACAATGAACGAAAAGAATCTTTACAGTGACGATCGAAGCAGGAAGGAGAAACTGCGAATGCATGCTTTGTACGGCTACGCTTGTACATACTCGGACCTCTCGCTGTAAATATGCATGAAGAATTCGGACGGCTGGTCGACACTGTTCAATTCGACGAACACCTCTGTGACAATCGACTTTATTACTCATTGCAGGAACGAACGCGACGCCCGCGTTTCCCGGCCCGTTAGCCACAGACGCGTTCAATCGGCAAACGATCGACGATAACAAAAGACCGATTAACAAGTCGGATTCGGCTGGGCTCGGCCACCAACTGGATCCAGCGACTTCCTCCTTGTGGGAAGATTCGAAAGACGTTCACGCGCACACAGACACCACCACTCATGGACTCTTCCACTACCCCATGGATCCTGGACACCCAACCGTACCATACAACGGACCATACAGTCCCGATTACAAGCCTACGCATCCTACCATAGAGAACGTGTTCCATTTACCCTCTCATACCGAAAAACCTTCGACGCCAACTGAACGTCTCAAAGAAAAGGCCATCAAGACTAAGTCGGACGCAAAGAAACCGGTCGAGCCAATCTCAAAACCGCATAAAGACGACTATTTCCCTGGCCCATTGGCTCCGGACAAATTCTTGGACAAGACTGGCTCCTCGATGGGCGCGAACATGAACGCAAACGTAAACGCGAATGGAAACGAGAATCACCAATTCAACCCTGGGTCTGTGAATCCCAACAAGCTACCACCGGTGCAAAAGGTTCCCTATGCGACGGATCAACCGCAGTTCGTTCCGTTGAACCCACAGCAAGAAATGGGGCCAGGATTCACGATCGCGACCACCAACAACGGTCAGGGTATTCCACAGGATGGTTTTAACGCGCAACTGGACAACTCCGCCGCGGTTGGTCCACCTTACAGAGGCTCGACGCTCAATGCTCCGGATAACCTCGACCCGAATGTGATCGTTCCGGTAAATCCAAAGAAGAAAGCTTCCGCCAGCGACAAGCCTCCGGCAGGATTGGGTGGTCGACCGAAACAGGGCCAACGAAATCCAGGTCAGGAGATTCTTCCTGAGGAACTGTATCATCTGATCAATCTTCAACATCCAGGCCTCGTTCAATTGGAACACGCTCCACCTGAGGGTCACCCCGGCTTGTACGATATCCATCAACAGATATCTAGTCAGAAACACACGTCCAACAATCAGATACAGCCTGGATACTTTGTCCCAGCTAACGGACCAAAGAAACCAGCTAAGCCGCATATTTACACACAGAAGGACGAAAACGGTCAGACGACCTATCACATACACACGTCAGACATACCGAACTCTCCCCAGCAGATCGAGGAACTCTTAGCTCATATCGGGCAACACGATCCCAATCCTGGACCGTTCCAACATTATCCCGGACAGCCAGCCATACCCCATAACGTGGCGA